ACTCACAAATTGCACATATCTACTTACACTCACATATGCACACATCCACAAATACACTCACTAGACAATAACAACATTAACTACGTTATTATTTTTGATAATTTATCAAAAAAAAAACGATTACAATTAATAATAATTAATAAATTTAAATTGGATTATAAAACGCATTCCTTATAGTATTCTTTTCTATAGGTTTAAAATAATATTTAAAATAGAATGATGACAATTATATAATGATAATATTATTACTTAATGAAAATATGAAATTCCATCCGTTTTTGCGTCTTAGATGTGTGATTTTTGCATTTTTTAAACGAGCACTGAGACATGTTTAGCGTCGGAGCATTCGAGTGGTACTAAACTAAAACTACACCGCGATGTTGAGTTTGGTGGGCTTTCAGTTAGGACATTTTTTTGTCACTGATTGTGTATCTAGTTCTTTATTAGTGATCGATGAACAAAAGTCCTAAAAATAAAACATAAACACAAAATAACAGTAATATAATTTAGTTAATTTAGTAATATAATCTTAATTTTTAAAAGGTGACATGTCACTAGTCAACATATCTACTTTTGTATTATTGTCAACACATTTTATATTGACTAACGCTCTGATAAGAGGCTTCTTGGCCATTAGGTTAGTCCTGGCTGTTGGTGTGGCCAGGAGTGAAGGATACATATGACAGCGCATTGATTATTTAAATTGAATTTTGAAAGAGGTCATATCACAATTCCTCGGACAAGGACAAGGGTTGTACAATAGATCGTACCTACTCTGGCGGAACGTCAAATGGACAGTTCTGCGTGCGCATTAAGGTGGAGAGCGAACGCTGTGACTGTCATATGGGACGGATCGCCGATGTCCGTTATTTTTGTAATTTATTCGGTCTGAATCCCGCCTGAATTTCATGCAACGTATTAGGCGTCAAGGCGGTTGCCTTCTCGACGCCTTCTACGAGCAGGATCGGCCCTCTCGCGATCTCGCTCAGGAGCCTCCTTTTTGGACATAACAGTCTCGCAAATCGAGGCCACTTCCCTCCAATTTTCTGCATCTGCCAGCATAGCCCTAACTACTGCTGGCAGAGACAAGTCTCGCCCGATATTGACGACAAGACTAGGACCTGCCGCTCAGAGGCCTGAGCTACTCCTCGAGCGTGTGCTGTGCGGTATCCAGGTCATCTCCGCAGTGGTGGCAATTTGCCGTGGCCTCTCGCCCAATGCTGTTCAGATACTTCCCGAAGCATCCACTGAGTAAGCCTGAAGGATACGCGCTCCTCTCTTTTCAGCCAGGCTTCGAAGTGCGGCAGGATGGCTCCAACAACGCGCTTGCGTGAGAGCTCCGGCTGTTCTAGCTCGTTGCCTTTTTTGCCGCCTCAGCCTAACGAACGCTACTCCTGGCATCCTACCGCCATTTCGGCGGACAGTGCGAATTTGTTCGTAGACTTTCGCGTCCATGTCCGCCAGGATATCCAATGGCGGGAAGCGAGCCTGGAGAGTTGCCGCCTCAAAGGACACCGTTCGGTATTCTCGAGCGATACGGATGGCCATTTTCCGCTGCAAACGATAAATTTTCGCTCTACAGCCTAACAGTCGACCTGACCAAACAGGCGCCCCGTAAAGGACCATCGACCGCACGACGCCCGCTTAGAGGCGGCGAACTTCTTCTCGAGGTCCCCCAATGTTAGGCAGCAGTCTGTGCAGAGCACCCACTGCCTTCTAGATTTGAGGAACCAGGCGTTCGAAATGCTCTTCAAAGCCTAAATACTTTATGTATTGCCCAACCTGGACTTGCGCATCTCCAACGTATACCGACGAACTGGGTTATGGAACCATAGAGCCTCGGTTTTATGAGGCGCTACCTTCAAACCCAGTCTGCGGATTGAAGCCACGGCATTTGCCACCGCGAGCTCTGAAAGCCGGATAGTCTCCTCAAGGTATTCCCACTGGCTATTGCCAAGGTGTCATCTGCGTAGCAAATGACATGGACACCAGCGGGAAGTACAACACGCAGGACCGCATCGTAAGCGAGGTTCCACAATAAAGGACCCAGCACAGATACCTGTGGAACTCCGCATGTAATCTCCCTCCGCTGAACGCTACCGTCCCGGCCCACCGGTGTCTTCCCAAACCTAATGAAATACAGTAAAGTTATTCCATTATTCAAAAATGGTGACACTAAGGAACCAAACAACTATAGGCCTGTGTCTGTTCTGCCGGTTCTTAGCAAAGTGTTCGAAAAGTTAATGCTATCTCGGATGCTTCATCACTTTGATAAACATGCCATCTTCCATCACCAACAATACGGTTTCACTAAAGGTCGTTGTACAACTGACGCCGTTGTCACGTTGATAAAGGAAGTACTCGGTGCTTGGGAGGAAGCACAGGATGCTGTTGGTGTCTTTTGCGACCTCTCAAAAGCGTTCGATTGCGTTGATCATGAAACACTCTTGCTGAAATTAGATCATTACGGGATTAGACATACTGCACTCCGTCTACTAAAGTCATATTTAGAGGATAGGCAGCTGAGAGTTCATGTAGGTGGTTATAACTCACAGGGCTCTGAGATAAGAATGGGCGTTCCACAGGGTTCAATATTGGGTCCGTTTCTCTTTTTAGTGTATGTTAATGACTTGCCATTTTTATTTAAAGCTGAGCCAAGTATGGTGCTGTTTGCTGATGATACATCATTAATTTTTAAAATAGGTCGACGTTCTAATAATTTTGACGAAGTAAACAGCTCCATTCATCAAGTTCATAATTGGTTTACAGTCAATAATTTAGCACTTAACAAGAAAAAAACAAAATGTATTAAATTTAGCTTGCCCAACGTACACAGTAATGATTGTAGCATAATTTTAAATGAGCAAAAGTTAGAATTTGTCAACGAGACAGTGTTTCTAGGTATCACACTAGACAATAGACTTCAATGGGGTTCCCACATAAAGACGCTTTCGGGGAGACTAAGCTCTGCTGTTTTTGCAGTTAGACAGATTAGACAGCTCACAGACGTGAACACAGCAAGGCTTGTCTATTTTAGCTATTTTCACAGCATTATGTCATACGGAATTTTGCTGTGGGGTCGAGCTGCGGAAGCAGAATCAATATTTATTCTACAAAAGCGGGCTATCCGAGCGATATATAACTTGCCCCGTCGCGAATCTCTGAGAGAACTATTTAAAACGATAAATATCCTGACGGTGCCTTGTCAGTTTATATATGAAAATATTATGTATGTAAGGAAAAATTTGCAATTATTTGAAAAAAGAAGCGATAGACATAATTTTAATACAAGAGGCAAAGATAGGCTGGCTGTGCCACGATTCCGTCTGTCCAAGGTACAGAAATCCTTTATGGGGTTCTGTGTAAATTGTTACAATAAAATTCCAAGTACTGTATTGAATCTTAACGAACGAAAATTTAAAACTTATATTAAACGTGAATTGTGTAGACAGGCATACTACAAACTTTCAGATTATATTGAGGATAAGAATGCCTGGCAGCGTGTTGATTCGGCTCCACTGGACAATACTCAAATATAGTCAGCAGTTAGGTAAAATTCTCAAAAATAATGCATCCTTAATTTATATATCCAAAAAGTTTATATAGAAGCACTCTTAAAGATTGTGAGTACGCATATGTGAGCGCCATGTTCGAGACGACAAAGGAGTAAAATTTTATGATAGGTCCCCTCATTTGTTCTTTTTTTTAACAACTTGTCTCTGCATTGTTCTCACATAAGGGTACACTAATGTATACTATAAATGTTATATTATTGAAATTTTAAAACAATTTTTTTAAAAAAAAAGAGTAAGGAATGGAGTTTCTTGCTCGTTCTTCTCCATTCGAATCTACAATTTGGAATGAGCACCTAGCTTCACTGACGAACAGACTGACAGACTACTTTTCTATTTTGACGTTTCAAAAGTACCTATTGATGGTTTAGTTGGAATAAATGATTTTGACTTTGACTTTTGACTTTGACCACATAGCGAATGAGACCAGGTATACCTAACGCCATCTACCGAGCGAGCATGGAGTATTTCTTGCATTTCATTGATATGTATGATGAAAGATTTTAGCTTTACTCATTTCATTTTGATCTAGCTTTATTTATGAATATGCATATTCAATATATTTATAACAGAAATATATTTTTTTAAAGTTTAATTCTACTTCTCTGGTCTGTCATCATCAGATCCTGGTTTCCTTATAATAGGACCACCTTTGATATATCTACTTTCCAATAAAAACAATAATCAAAATCGGTCCATAAACGAGTAGACATCCGCGAACAGACATAAAAGGTACTCTTCCTACAGTACTATCCTGTCCTACTAATCTTACTACCCTACTATTCCTAGTATTCCTACTATCCTAATCCTAATGCTGCTATCCCACTTGCTATTTACTAGCTTCGCCCTAAACTTGTTGGCAATGGCAACAAGTGTATGCCAAAGACTACATTTGATAGAGCACGACGGCGTGATTGTGCATTTGTGCTTGTCGCCAACAAATGCGAAGTTGATTTCGCGTTCAGTGGACTTTAGTACTTGCCTCGCGACGACGCCGCGTTAACGTTGCGTCAGCGCGACGTCCATACTGCGCAAATGCGACGTTGACGTCAACGTTGGTAAAACGTCTAGTGGGATACGGCCTAATATCCTAATCCGAATAATATTATAAATGGAAAGTATATATGTGAACAGCTTGAACCGATTTGGTTGTGTTAGGTGTAGGTGTGTAGATAGGTGATTCCCTGAATTCATATATATTTCTTATCAACATACCACGCGGACGAAGCCCCGGGCGGAAAGTAAGTAGTACGGTACTAGTAAGTATATACGGTCGAATTAGGAAACCAGCCCAGACCTTTATTTGAAGCTTTGCGCATAGAAATGTAATAATGTATCTGATACACTGTGTGGAGTTGTGGACTAATAATTTGAGTCAGTCCAAGAAGCTTTGTTGTGTCGCGTTCTGGATTTCTGGCAGTAGCAAGTTCACATTGCGAGGAGGTCCGCCACAGCGGGCGCGCTGCCGGCCGGCAGCCAGTGCTGGTGCTGCAGCAGCACGATCACGACGTCGGCCGTGTCCCCGCCCCCCTCTTCCCCCTCGGTGCGCAGCACGCGCGCACAGGCCGCGGCCGCCTGGCAGTGCGCGCCCCCCTCCGCCTGGCACGCCACGTCGCGCGCCCCCGCCGCCTCGAGCGCGGCGCGGTACTTGCCCACGTGGCAGCGGATGGAGGCCGTGAGGAAGTGTGCGCGAGTGTTGCGCGCGGGGCGGCACGCACACACCCACACGCGCGGGCCCAGCGACAGCGCCACACACGCGCCCGCCGACACCGACACGCACGCACACAGCGTCGCCGTGCGCGCCGCGCTCACCGCGTACAGCGGCACGAAGGCCAGCCACGTGACGCACGTCGCGTACGCCGCCGCGCCCACGAAGCGCGTCTCGTTGAAGTTGTGCGGCAGGCGCCGGGTGCGCACCGCCATGCCGACGCACGCCGCCAGCAGCGCCAGCGCCGGCGCCAGCGGACTCAGCTGCGCCGGGGCCTGCTCCCCGCCGCAAACTAACACTGAGCGTGAGCGACCCGGGTGCAGCAGCTGCGGTGTGGCCGGCCAGGTAACAGCGCTCCAAACTGCCACACAAGCGCCTGGAGCCGTCAGCGCCAGCCATGTCCACAGCTGGGCCCGCGACGATAGCAGGCGCGGGCGAGCCGCCGGGCGGCGCTCGCACGCCGACACGAGTCGTGCGACGCGCACCGTGCGCGCCAGCACGGCCGCGTACACGCCGCCGAGCGCGGGCGCTGCCAGGCGCACGACGGCGCACGGGCCCGGCCCCGGCCGCAGCACGGCCGCCAGCGCAGCGCCGTGGCACACGGCCGCCGCGCACAGCAACAGCGCGCACAGCTCGCGAGACGCCGACTTCACGACGGGCGTGGCGCGATGCCGCCAGAACGTGACGGCGCACGTGGCCACGGCGGCCAGCCCCGCCGCGCCCGCCGCCGCCGCCACGGCGCGCGTGCCGCGGCCCTCGTCGCCCCACTCCACGCCCGACGCCAAACATGCTGCAATTGTAAATAATGTCGCATCTCATCTCATCCCATATCTACATGATAAACATTTCCAACTACTTGTGCATTCATCCTTCCAGCAGGCATCAAGTATGTTGAGCGCAGCACAGAAGCAGTACTGGCAAGTACCAATGCGGTCTCGATCAGGATGGTGGCCGGGGGGACAGAGCCGGCAGCCGGGCGCCGGCGGCGGCAGGGTGACCTCGAGCGGCGCGCACGGCACGCAGGTCCAGCAGCAGCGCGCGCGCCCCGCGCCCACGCGCGCCCACTCGCCCGCGCCGCACGGTGCCGAGCACGCCGCCAGCACGCCGCGCGCGCGCCCCCGCGCTGCGCCCGCGCCCCCGCGCAGCTGCAGCACGCCCCGCCGCCAGCGCCCCACGCGCTCGTACCGCCACGCGCCGCCGCTGCGCTCGAAGCTCATGACGTCGTAATCGCTCAGCCTGAGGAATAGCGACAGTAATTGTAGCTGGAATGGTGGGGCGTGAGGACGTGTGAGCTCGAAAGGGCATGGAGTAGGCAGGTACGCACTCGGGCGGCGGGTCGCCGCTGTCATCGAAGGCGACGAGGCCGCCGTCGGGCGCGCGGAAGCGCACGCGCGCGAGGTGCCGGCGGTACTGCGACACGTTGAAGGGCAGCATGGCGGCGCACAGGCCGCGGCCGGCGCGCCCGCACGCCGCGCGCCGCATGCCGTGCAGCGCGTGCGCCAGCGCGTACACGCCGCGCACCACCAGCGCCAGCTTCGGCTCCTGCGTGTAGTTGGCGGCCAGGGACTCGCGCCCTGCGGCACCACTACCTACTTAGAGGGGCTTCATCTCAGAGAAGTCAGCAATCGTTAAAGTAATATTTGAAATGTTCACACGAACTTGGCATATCGCAAAACTAGATTTGTCTGTTAAGATGTTACCGTATGATAAAAACAAATGAAGTACTGTATTGATTCTGATGAAATCGATACAGCCGTAGAAAATGCGTTACAAAAACCCAAATTTAGCCACACGCTGGAAGCCGCGTGTTCAGTTGGAGTGATTGAAGACATTGGGTCCTTGCGAACACGGGATCCATTTGTAATTACCCTCGATGTGAACTCTCCAACAGCCACAAGGTAAACTCAGATCCCCGCTCGTATAAATCTCCATTACATCTGCAGACTATGTAGCTTCATTCAGTATCCTGACACTGCTGGCGAAACTTTCTATTTTTCAAATGTCATAGATCATTTATTTCAATTAGAGCCAAAATAAGCCAAATAGAAACAAAATTTTAAAGATATTATAATGTGTCAGTCTATTGGTCAGTCCTCTTAGTGAAGCTATTTTCTCGTTCCAAAGTGTTCCCCGGAAAGATTCCGATGGAGAAGGAACAAGAAACTCGACGAGTCAGGCACTCAATAAGATATATTGAATTATATAAATATGTCGCGCTCGAGTACCCTCCGATCTCCCCGTATCGTGTGCAACCCAACAATGATCACCTGTACAGCGTCGCGCCGCCGCCGCCGCCGACAGCGAGCAGTTGAACTTCTGCTCCCAAAACTCCTGCAACATGTGTCATCTTAAAGAAATGTGTTTTGTCCCTACCCTACTGTAATTACTTCTCGGTAACTTCCCGAACCCGGCTGAACATCGGCCCTTTTGCTCCCCATCTGTAGTGGGCTGAGCCAACCTTGCTTGGTGTCGGTAGACCGGCACTTCTAACTCGTCTGGTCTTGTGGTTCGCCATGGGTGGCGCCGACTGCTTACCACGAGGTGATCCGGCTGCTCGTTTGTCACGATATCCCAAATAAAAAACCTACCGTTACTAGTATGGGCTATGTGCAAAGCGAGTAGTGGCGGAGAGATAACGACCGCAGCGCACAACACGGCAGAAAATGGAAATAAATGCGGATGATCAGCTGTCGGTTTTTATTATTATATTCATTTTACAGTAAAACTATTGAATAAATTGTACTTAAATAATGTCGTCAATACTATTTATATCTTTGGTTTTATTTATATTTGCAAAGATGTTTACATTGTTATTATTTGACAGCTTCCGCAAATGTTGTAAACGTTACGCGTCGCCACCGTCGCGCACATAGCCAATCTAGCTATCTAAGTAGTTGCATATTAGTGGGCCTTATGTTAAAAGTGATCTCCGCCGGTCGTTAGGTAGTTGCATCACTTCCAGGCCTCGTTCCCCACGGGCAGTCGTAGGCCACGAAGTTAAGAGAGGCAGAGTCAGTGTACCCGACCCCTCGACGCACTGCGCGCGAAGGCCGCGTTAGGGCCAACTTGCCCATTGCTGACTTGCGTGAGAGACAATGTCATGGTTCTCCCAAACGTACTGAACTAGTTATAACAATTGTATCATAATCTAATGAAAGCAATTCAAAGTGAAAAACCTGGAACCACGGATTTCTTGAGTTGTTGTGTGGCTTGAGTGCGAGGTAGTGCCGGTCAAAGTTGTTGAGGTACGGTGAGCGGATCCGGAGCGTGAGTGAGTGGAGGGCGGCGTGCTCCAGGCCCTGTACTACATCGCGGCGGTCCGCCCAGCCGTCACTGGCCACCAGCCGCAAGCGGCGGCGCGGGCCGCGCGCCAGCCCCGCCAGCAAGGCACGCGCCGTGCGGCCCTCGCACCAGCAGACCGCGACCTGCGGGCCGCGCGCTAGTCGCGCCAGCGCCGCGTCCACCGCCGCGGGCGTAGGCGCCGCGCGCAGCGCCACCTCGCGGGCTACACACACACCGCCACGCGCCGCCTCCTCGCGGAACGCCGCCATGCCACTCTGCCCGTAGCTCTCTGCCGTATGCCGTGCAAACAGCGAATATGAAGCCTACTCTGTAGTATATGACCATTTAAATTACTCGACAATACGTAATGTGTAGGTAATTTCGCAAAAACATATAATTGGATTCTTCACACGAAGAATACGCTTATAATAAGATTAGCCATTTTACAAACTCTAGCCGGCAATATTTGTAACATTGTAAAAGTCACAAGAACAATTTATAAGCAAATTCAGCAAGTACGTCTTGCTTTTTTTTGCCCCAAGGTGGAAAATCTTCATGAAACAATGAAACGATGAATTAAATTTTTGCAAATAGGCCATAAAACGGCACTTTTACACGTCAATTTATATGTGAAAAACTAGACGAAGCCGGCATGGAGCCCCTTCGTCTCCCCAGGCTGACCAGACTGTCAGACTTTTACTGACTAAAAACCACCTCGTTGTCCCGTCTCTCACGTGGGCGTGAGGACGCGGGAATCAAAATTCATCCGCAGCCCCACTCGTGACGGCCTGTCTCCATAGGCCCACCTCAAGATGCACAGGGAAGCAAGGTGTGAATCTCACCCGTGACTCTCCTCGAGGCGCGCGTGAACACAACGCACCTTGTCGGGTCCTATTTAACGGGACGACGGAGTCTCCCCCAAGTCCTCCGTTCCCGTACCCGCCTAGGGGGGTCGGAAGAGAGCAGTTTCTTCCCTCCTCCTACGCCTAGTGCGTCTGCTGCGGGTGGGAAGAGGATTTGTGATTTCCCTTTCCCATTCCGCAGCCTCCTTCTGCAACAACACATCTTCACAGAAGGACACCACTGCATCCCATGACTCTATCTACACTGCCGACCATTTGTTTTACAGAATCTGCAATTTACAATACGCCGATGACAGCACCATCACCGTATTTGTTGTATCAATCAGTAAGTGGGAGATAATATTCCTGGACCGATCGGAGCACGCAGCGAGGAGATGGGCTTTCCATAAACAGGTGCAAAACTAAGGTCATGCTGATGGATAGACGATTTCAATCTTGAAACTGACGGGTGCTTTAGATTTAGTAATAGTGGACAGCTTTGTTCACCTGGGTTCCAACATTTGTACCAACAGGTCAACCGGAAAATAATTACGCTAGAGATTGGTATGGCTAAGAGCACCATCTCTCAGCAGAGTGTGGAGAGATCGCAATATCCACGTCAAAAACTGAAACCAAACTGATACAGGCCCTAGTTTCCTCAAACTTCTCTTATGGCACAGAGACATAGTATACAAGAGCAGCAGACCATAAATGCGCTGACGCTGGAAATCTAAAATCCCTGAGGACTATCATCCGAGTGCCCCGCACAGTCGTTGAATACGAACTGAAGTGAATTAATGTAGACGGGCAGCGGCAGCGGCCTTGTGGTCGCAGCCCAGCACTTTGGTTCTATCAGTTAGCTTAAGTTAGAAACGTTTAAATATGTATAGAACATGTTGACAGGCACCTTACGTGCCATATATTGGAGTTATATTTCATTAAAGTACTACTAAAAGGTTCTTTAACCGGCATGGATAAAGTTCAAGAAGTTTTTGTAATAAATAATATGTCGAGAGAACAATATCGGAAAGCTGATTATCGCATGACAAGCAATGGGGGTATCTTGTTTTATAATTATATCTAACTCATTGTAGAGTTTAACCGCTGGTTCAGAATATAAGGCGCAAAGCATTTCCACCCAGTTCAAATGACGTGTACTATGGTTAAGTTTCAGGTTAAGACTAAAATTGAGAAAAACAGTTTCGTCAATTTTTTTTACTAATAATAGCAATCCACTCAAACTATTAATATCGTACTCTTTAAATACGCTGCAAAAAAGACTGCGCGTGCGCCGCACTAACCGTCAGTATGCAGCGCGTGTACGTAGGTCCAGTTGTGGGCGCGGAGCAGAGCAACGAGCAGCCTCGCCTGGTGCTTGTCGGATGGCACCACGCGGAAGAACGTGGAGAAGCGGGCGCGGTCTGACAGCTCCCGCGCAGTCGCCGAGTACGACACCTGGCACAGGCGCGAGCTCAGTACGGGACCACGAACCTGCCCACGGCCGGTCAGCGGGCACCACCTCACCTGTGGGATGGAGAACAGCTGCAGCAAGTTCTGCACTTGCACAGCTGCAGAGCTTGCACCAGGGCCCAGGACCGCCACCAGCGGAGTCGCGGGCGCACGCCTCGGCTCGCCTGTCTGGAATCATTAAACTATAGTAACAAGTAATATTTGAAGATAGTCTTATTTGAGTTTATTTTTAAGCATGCTTCCAATTCAAGGCTGAATCCAAGATTTGACTTCCCCCGATCCCAGGGTGTAGCGAGAGGAAGTGTCAGACTGTTACTCACTGGAAGCCACCCCGTTTCTTCACCTGCTCCCAACCGAGGTCGCGGTACATTATAGAGCTTGCCCCTCAACTCCAGGTACACCTTGCTCGCCGTCCGCAGGTTCGTGCTTACGCCCGACGTGTCTCCGTTCTCAAGGAAGTCAGAGTTGTCAAGGTTGGCAACTGTGCGATTAACGTGAAACTTACTGCCCCGCATAGCAAAACTTTGGAATCATCTTCCGGCGGCAGTATTCCAGAACCGATATCTACGGACTTGGAATCTTCACGAAACGAGCTTATAATCACGAATTCCGTGGTTACAATACGTATGTATATACTGTGTGGTCACCAAATGTAGTGGTGGCCCGGAGGTTAAGGAGCCCGCTTCTCACGCCTGAGGGTGTGGGTTCGAAACCTCGCAAGTACCAATGTGACTTTTTCCGAGTTATATGTACTTTCTATGATTATTTAAACACCACTGACATACGGTGAAGGTAAACATCGTGAGAAAAACTTGAATTATTAAAATTTCTAATTCTAAGTTTGAAATCACCAGCCCGCATTGAGCAACCGTGATGATTATTGCTCAAACCTTCTCCGTGTGAGAAGAGGCCTTTGCTCGGCAGTGGGCACTTATAGGTCGGCTGATGATGATGATGATGATGATGAACCAAATTTCATTCTTCTAGTACTAACGGTCACTGAGATTATCCGTGGACGGACAGACAGACATGGCGAAACTAGGGTTCCTAATTTATTGCGGAACCCTAACAAAGTACAGCCAAATTGAGAATACTCCTTTCTTAGGTGTAGGCTCAGCTCGCCCCTTGGATCTCGCCCCTGATTGCCTAAGTGCATCAACTCGCCCCTTAAATTATTTATTAGATACTCCAACTCGCCCCCGATTGTTGGTTAGTTAAAAGTACTGTCAGCACTCTAAGTTTATAAAATATTTAAATGAATATTTTTTCTTAAAACTTCAATAATGGTCCCATAAAAGGTCCCTTTTGTTACAGTAGGTAAACCAGGTAATAAAACTATCACAAGTGGTTAAATTACTTACCAGTTTTGTTTACTGTAAATTTTTCTGAATATACCTTTTTTAGTTAAATTTCAAAGGGAATTCCGCAAGGGGCGAGTCGATGCATCAAAATAATTATTTAATTGTTAAATTTTTCACTCGCCCCGTAAGGGTTTTCATAAGGGGCGAACCACAACTCCAAATTAATAAAAACGGGGCGAGTGGAACATTTTAATCGGAAGGGGCAAGATCCAGGGGGCGAGGTGATACTACACCCTTTCTTACTAAAAGTTGTGTCTACTACATGGTATCGTAGTTTTTGGGACAAGCCCGCCACATTCTCCCTAAACCGCTGCAAATCCAGTAAGCTGGGATCTACAGCAGGTACAACCATGGAAACACCGGATCACCGGCGCGTCCCTGGGACATGAATGACAGTCTTGGATCCTGCAACGAAATAAATGAGAAGATATTATTCGAAAAGAAGGAAAACTAAATAATTTCCACTTCCCTCGGTAAATTTAATACATTACACATAAAATTTAATATAAAATAAAAAAAAAACCCGACATAGAAAACATAAGCTACCTTTAAAAAGTAAAATTTTGTAATGCACACGTAATGCGCTTTCATTTGAGAACCCACTGGAGCATATTTATAGACATTCCGTAATTCTTCCCCACTTTTACCCCCCACAAATTTTAAACGGCTCAAATAATTATCAAACAGTCATGTCTAAGAACACTCGCACGTAAGTAATCTTTGTTAGGAAAAAAACCTTTATTGAAATCGTTTCATCCGTTCAGGAGCTATGATGAAACAGGCACACAGACAGACACGTCAACCTATTAAAATTGTTGTTTTTGTGGTGTCATAACCTTTCATTTGATACCCCACTTGAGCATATTTGCAGACATTCGGTTTTTCTTCCCCACTTTAACCCCCCATAAGTTTTAAAAGGCTCAATCGATTTTCATCAAATATGTCTAAGAACACTCGCCCGTAAAACATCTGTACTTAATACAAAAAACACTAAATTGAAATCGGTACATTCGTTCAGGAGCTATGATGCCAGCCACAGACAGACAGACACGTCAAACTTGTAACATCCCTCTATTTGCGTCGGGGGTTAAAAATGACTTAAAACTTGCGGCACTTCTCTGGTAGTCAGGCTGGCCGGCAGGTAGCTAGGTAGGGGGCCAAATATAGTACACATTTTTTTTTTGTATGTTCACCGATTACTCCGCCATTTATGAACCGATTACCAAAATTCTTGTTTTGTTTGAAAGGTTATACTCCCGAGAGGGTCCCATTTCCATGAAGTCAGGATCTGATGATGGAATCCAAGGGAAACCGAGGGGAACTTTCGAAAATTGTAGGGGCGAGTAGTGCTTTTGCACGTTTTTTTAGTAGGCTTTTTACAAAGCTACAACTTGCCGATAGTTGAACTAGACCTGATGATGGAGCCGGAAGACAGTCGAGGGATCTCCTTGATTATTTGGAGAAGTTACCTGCTAGTGTGTTTGGGATTGAATGATTCGTATTGGTGAGCAGTTTGCACCAAGATTGATGGTGACTGTCATTAGGGGTCTGATGATGAGAACGAAAGACAGCTCAGGGAACTCCTGAACGGTTTACAGTAACTACCTCGTGTTTGGACTTAATTCATTTATATCAATGAAAACTTCGCACCTATATGGGTAACGATGAAGTTATGGAGTAAATCTGATGATGGAGCAGGAAGACTGTCGTGGGATCTCTTAGACTAAGTATTTGGAGTAATTATGTTGTGCTTGGACTTAATTCATTTATATTGATGAGAACTTTGCACCTATATGGATTATGTAAGTAGGATATTGAAGGTCTGCAGTATACATGATGATAGCGACCATTGACAGTTGAGGGAATTCCTCAACGATTTACAGCTAAACTAACTGAACACTGACTAACTTAGGACTACTACTATCACCGTGATTTTCGGTCTCAAGTAGCCGTCGTCTTCTCATTCGAAAACCATTATACTTGCTTGCTTTTCCTACTACACTTAAAATTGCCGAACATAACACCTCCTCCTTTTTTGAAGTCGGTAAAAAATGAGCAGTATTTACGCCAACTTCTGTTGTCCTAATCACGACTAGGTTTCACAAGTAGTTGATAGTACGCTGGGAACACTGGCCTGAACTGTACAAGTAAAGGCACTAAAAAGACTGTACAACTGGGAGAAGCCCAGTCACTCCACGAAACATTTACTAATGTAATGAGGCCTTGTGTGAGCTGCTACAGTTGTTTCTAGTTGTAGGTTTAGCAAAAACACCTAAACGCACAGAAATTTGTTTTACATTCCACAATGTCCATATAGGTAATAGATATGTATACTACACCAATTTCGTTCCAGTTTTTATTTTACTAATTTGTCGGCGTGATTGATATTGTGACAGAAAACTCTTTGACATCATGACGTCAATGGATGGTTGTCAAACGTTGCCTAGAGATTGTAAATTTCGTCGTGAATTGTCAACACGAGTTGGTGTAATCGGTAAGGCGTGTGGATTACACCACAGAGACCCCGAGTTCGAGTTCCGCCGTAAACATGAAGTTTTTTAGTTGATGGAAGTTTTGTCGAACTTTCTAGAATATTTGAGTGAAAGTAATGAAAAATTAAGGAGCGAGAAGGAGAATAAATAAAAATGAATAACGAAATTATTGGAAGGTTCTGGAGGCATGACGATCAAAAAGAATAACGAAATTGAATGTTCTAGAACCTGACCAGGGGTATATAAGCGGAACTGCGGCTCACCGCTGGCAGTTGAGTTCTAAGTCTAAAGCGATTCGGAAGAAAAGGAAGAAGTGGAAAAGAAGAAAAGTGAGTGAAATAGTGAAGTGCAGTGAAATAGTGAAGTGCAGTCAGTTAAGTGAGTTAAGTCAGCGTGAACGGCAAAGTTGTGTCAGTCGGCCGGACTCTGCTGGAGAAGAACGCCGATAACTTAACTCCGTGGACGCTGTAACTTAAGTGCAATAGAAAGTCTGAAAACCGGTATTAGTGTTTCATTTCATCCAATCCCGTAACCCAAGCCCGCATAGTCAGGAACGTGACGTCAGGCACGTAACATTTGGTGTCAGAAGTGGGATTGGAGAAAAATGCCGCTAGTGCCGCAGGACGTAAGAGGAGTGAGTACCCGTGCAATGTCAGAAGCGCAGCGTGTGAGGGAAGAGGGTGCTGCAGCTCAAACCAGCGATGCAGAAGCCAAGCCTGTGCAGGTGGATCTTCTGCTACAGCTGCAGCAAATGATGGCAGAGCAAGCGCGCCGCCAAGAAGAGCAAGCGCGCCGCCAAGAAGAGCAAGCGCGCTGTCAGGCAGAACAGCTGCGAGAGCTGAAAGAAGAGCAAGCGCGCCGCCAAGAAGAGCAAGCGCGCCGCCAAGAAGAGCAAGCACGCTGTCAGGCGGAACAGCTACGGGAGCTGAAAGAAGATCAAGCTCGTCGCCAAGAGGATCAAGCTCGCCGCCAAGAGGAGCAAGCGCGTCGCTTGGAAGAGATGCATAAGGATTTCACGAAGGGACTGCAAAAGGCTGTCGAACGGGTACAAGAAGTGGAGGAAGGGTTAGGCAAGTTGGAACATCGCGTCATGGCGATAGAGGAGAGAGTGAAAGAAGAGATCTCCAAAATCAAGCAGGAAGTGACAAGCCCAAGCCCTTTGAAGAGCCGAAGCCGTCTTGCAGCCGTTTTTGACGCCCCAAATGTGGCCTCAAGCGCAACGAAAGGGCTCAAGATTCCCCATTACGACGGAACAACATCCTGGAACGCGTTCAAGCTACAGTTTGAGACACTTATGGAGGCTTATGGTTGGACTCAGAAGGAAGCACAGTCAGCCCTCACCCTGGCCCTCCGTGATCAAGCGCTCTCAGTGCTGGAAGCTATCGGCGCAAGTGGGGATCTCAGCTTAAGTGCCCTCCTCGACGCACTTGAGGCACGTTTTGGAGACAGCCACCTCGAGCACGTGTACAGAGCGCAATTAAAAGAGCGTACTCAGCGTGCTAATGAGAGCCTACAGCAATGGTCCGTGGAAATCGAGAAACTTGTGCGTCGAGCTTTCCGGTCGACTCCGTCAATGATTGAAGGCACGCTTCTCCAAGCGTTCATTGACGGTATTCGGGACCCCGAAGTACGAGTTGCTGTTCATCTGGGCCATCACAAGAA